AAATAATTTCTGCCTGAAACACTAGCCTGTTTTGCCATTAGCAATGAAGGTCTATTCTAATCCTTATAGGCAGGTTCATTAATTTTTTTATCCAGAAAAGCCTTCACTCTATTTAAAAATTATTCCCGTTTTCCTCACCTCATGGAAACATTTCCATGTTTCCTTTGCTATGTTCCCAGTAGATCTGACACTTCTACATTAATAGAAGACAGTGACCTGTGATAAAAATACACTTTTATGGAGTGCTTGGGCAGGAAGCATTACAGGACCTGAGCAAGAAATAAAAATACAATAAATAATATAAAAATTCAGCTCTGATGGACTCATTGCCACAAAACCAGAAACAAGTGAGCAGACACCTTGGCAAGGACTCAATCATTTTCTGTACAGCATTCATGGAAGCAGGCAAGGGTCGAAAGCTGTTGTAAATTATTGGGAATAGGGAAAATAGCAACCGAAGGGAGATGACAACTTAGACGTTCTGGATTTTGTAAGTTAAAACAAAGAGACAGGATCAGAGCTGAAAAATCACCTGTGAGAATTTACACAACAGCACAGGGTCTATTGGGCAGTGGTGTCCTAGTAACAGATCAGAGAACAGCAGAGGGTCTTCATACCGCCCAGAAAACCCCTGCCGAAGAGCAGGCCAGAGACTCTGCACCCCCAGCCACGATGGGGAGGAGAGACAAGGAGAGAAGGTGCTGGGCACTGCAAGCACTGATCTCCAGCTCACAGCCTGAAACTGAAAGCTCTGCACCAGTGTGCTTCCAGCTCTCCGGAGCACGCTTAGGAACAACAAAGGGTCTTCTCCATCAGGTCTGCCTGGACATACCCTGGCTGGAGCACACCGAGCTACCCAGGACAGAAGGCAGGGAAGCCATCCAGGACTAAACTGGAGAAATTTACTCCCATGAGCATTAACAAGCACAGGAGAATCCATACGTGCTTTGCAGCCATACTACTGACCAGGGTCCCAAGATCATATACCTCTCCCTGACTGGTAACATCGATGAAGCTCCAGAGAGCTCCTCCTCGCAGAGCCTTCTCCTCTGGGGGAAGAAGCACTTGCCCAGCCCTCGGGAGTCTGAGATGCTGTGCGAGGCAGCAGAGGCAGCCGCCCCCGGGGGGAGCCGCTGCCGCACACCAC